GCTCGAAGCTTCGTACCTTGAAACGTATGATTGACTCTGAGCACGAGACAACTCCAGTAGCATCCATAGAGTTTGTACAGACCTTGTAATGAAAGTATACGCTTAAGACTTCTTCACGCTGCGCAAGCCATTTCAATTCATATTTTGAAGCCTGACTTCTGCATTTAATGAAAGAAGTTTGTCCATCCACTTGATTTGTAACGGACGTAACGTGTAAGAACACAGCCTCGTCACTTAACATTTTGTCTTTAAATAATAGCCTTGAGAATAATACATTGCTCCCAGCAGTCGGTCATTCTTTTGTATACTAAGGTATATAGACGAGAGCTTCATTGCTTATGATGAAAACATGGACCTAACACACCTTCAAAATTTCAACACCAGCCACTCTTCGGTTAAACTTACGCTAGAATCAAACTCGACTTTCATTTCCTCGATGTCAGACTCTAAAGAAGCCCTGATTATTCCATTCAAAGGTCAATCTGCTGAAAGCCCACTTGGAATGGACAACTGACCAACTTTCAGATTTGGGTATCTTTAAGTAGGAAGAAGAATCTTGGGCGCTCACTCTCATCAACAATAAGAAAGATATCCAGTCGTGATACACTTGTCCAAAAATTAGAAACCATCCGAGAATTACTGGTAAAAAAGGGTAGTCATCCAGATTTTTTGAGGATTATATGAAAGAAAAGAGACTAAGGAACAGGTTCAGACAACTATGGAGGAATAATGAATTGCCGCGGACACCTTTCGTCAACGTTTGCCAAAGCCACCAAGTAGAACATTCCACGCCGCAAACCTTTGAATTGTGTTCTCATGTCAACAGCTGATTCGTCAGTACGTGAAAGACAAGCTAACGCAGTAGGTCTCATCAGTATGCATATTACGTCTTCTCACATCATATTCTTCCTCGTTTAGAATCCAGACATCTGATAACAGTCGTCAATCTCTTCAACCATACTATATCTTTTAACCTACGAACTTAACATTGCTTTGTTGTTGATAAGTTTTCTTTTCACTACTACTTCCAACATTACGTAATTCTTTCTACGATGTCCTAATTCTCCATCAAAATTAAATTCCTGACTTGGTTGTGGCTAGCAGTGGAAAAAAGGACGTGCGTTTCGTCCTATCTGGGACTCGTTAGCTAGGTGTGCCTGTCCCCCAGTGAGTGATGTTCCCACTAAGACTCGAACCTTGTACACATCGCTTCAAACGCCAATGAGTTATCCACTAAGGCGCGATAGCCATCTCTTGTACTCTGGGTATTAGTGGATAACGCTTTGTCTTTTGAATCGATGTGTAAGAGGTTCAAGTCTCAGTGGGAACAATTTCACTCACTGGCGGGGTGCAGGTACATCTAGCTGACGAGTCTCAAATACGACGAAACGCGCATCCTGTATTCCACTGCTAGCCACAACCAAGTGAATCATCTCAAATATTCAGGCAACATCGAGGCATCTGCACAGGAGCCCATATGCCAACAGAGGTTGGTCAGTTCGATCGAGTATAGCAACCGAGAATGTTAAGTATCAACCAATAATAAAAACTGAATCCTGTTCAAAAATATTTGATAAAACCTTCCCTTTCTGTCGGCACGTAATTAAAGTGTTTGGATGCGACTGTACAGCTTGAAAAGTGCAACTCTTCGCTAAACATCTTTCGCTTCATTTTCAGTGACTTTAGAAAGTACGTTTGCTGTGTCTGATTGTGCACATAGAGATGATGCACCAATCATGCTGACCCTAATTACTAAACCTACTTGTTGTTTACGCCTTCATATGCATAATCACAATCATATTGCATAGTTTCAGTATTTGGTGGTATGTACTTCGTTTATATTGTTATTTATGGTATCAGTTTCGCTTTCTGGAGATCGATTACTCAAATTACCCTGTTGTATATGCCAAATGTATAGATAAGCGGGTTTTTACATATGCAACTAATTGGTGAGAGTTTTCAGAGAGAGAGAAAAAGAGGGTTTTTTTTATTGATTTTACCAATTTTTGCACACTTACCTTTTGCATATATACAGTAATGAGTGTTTATAGTTGTCAAAATATTTCAGTATACATTTAACTTATAAGTATACTTTATTCATCTAATTCTCTCTATGTCGGGTATTTTAGGACATTGTTATATACATTCACATCACAATGATTATTCAGTCTTAAGAAAGGGGAACAGCAATGAAACATAAAACGTGTTGCAGTTGTCAGACATAATTTCTATCACAGTAAGGAGAGGTCAGCAAAAAAAGGAAAAGAAGATGAATTAATAATGTTAGGAATTGTGGGCGAGTCTGAATAAAAAAAAACAGGCATGCAAAAACTAGTACAAAATTAATGTAAAGGATTAACAATAGTTTGTTGAAGATTTGGATTTGCATCAATATGACCTAGTTATAGCCATATTACTTAACTTTTATCATTATCGATTTTGGTTCCCCTCTAGACCTAATCTAAGAAGCTCACTGTTCCTCCCCCCATACACACACTCAACTAGGTTCAAGAATCATAGACGAACTGACATATCTAATTCAGGTCATAATATGGCTTGTATAATTCCACTCATACTTATTTTTCTGAAAGAAGAGAAGCACCCCACTCCATTGCTTATTGAAACCGGTATTGGCTCAAGGTGTAGTACTTTCTTCGTTCCTGTTTCTTTTCTTTTTGCATGATTTACCCTATTCTACTGAAATTAATTTTGTCAAGTATGCTAGTAATCTGACGGCTTCTATGCCAGTTATCTTCCAGTTGGACTGCTCCCGATTGAATGTTTTTAAGAAAATCTAGAATTAACCAGTAGTCTTTCTCATGATCCTAAGCTGAGCTGTTATAAATGTCAGGCGTAAACAAGACTTGTGTGATCTGCTTCGGTCTCATGAATTATTTACTATTGATGATATTACTGTAGGAAGCAAATTGAATGTTACCTATCTCGTATTGAGTTTTACTTATGATCTTTGTTGGCCGTTGCATAACTTATTGACTTCCAAGAAAATCTTTCATTTATGCCATTACATAAAGAGGCTAAAACTCTCTTATATAACTCAGCCTCTTCTTTTATAATTTATTAGTTCTTGTACTTTACCTATTTTTCTGTATTGTTTCGCGTTAGTCCTTCCTGGTCTGCTAAATAAGGACTGTATTATATTGCGTAAGGCTTTGAAAGCTGTTAGTAGAGTAAGCGATGTGTCTGTGCCCTAACTGATTAATACTGTATGTAGTTGACAAACATTTAAATGAAAACAGACAACTAATTACAGTCATTTTATCTCATGATGAGCACCTGCTTTGTTCACAGATCTCGCTTTGTATCTCCTAAGGGAGGATAAGAAGAAATCATATGAGACTGTACTCTCAACTGTGTTTTACGTAGCACACATATTCTGTGTGAGGAAATAAGTTTTAATACTGCACTCGTAAGGTTTCCTTATTTAAGCATCCTGATATCTTGTCTTTATCATATATGACGTCATATGGTAAAAACCAAACAAACGTTTAGTGTTTTTGTACCTCTAATCCTTCTATTATCAACCTTATTCTTGTATCCTACTCATGCAGTTATACTTAGGGGAATTCGAACTCTATAACTAACGATGTATATCCATTATTTTTGTTCATAGTTGTGGTTTATTTACTTTTGTTTGCAACCTTTAGTAAACTAAGTTGAGGTTTCGAGCCCGATTGTATCTTCTTCAGTATTTCAACTAGATATTGTTATAGGTTTACCCGCACAAACTTATACTAGATTTTTTTTTCGTTCCATTGTTGTAATCCTACATTTTGTTTATATCCTACTGTCACCGAACAGTCGAGATGTGGTTGATTTGTTTAGGGAAATGACTATCAACCAGTTGGTCATGGGTTCAAACCCCGCTCCATTCACTGACGTTCAGCCTATTCAGGTAGTATCATTAGCCCTCACACAATAGGTATGGACCATTGTCTATTGCACGAATGTGCATGTGACTGCTGAGTTGACTTTGATTCGATTTCCTCGTCATTGAAGATGAAAATGTTTTGAAGGTTTATTTACCATGTAAATAAACTAGTTGATCATAGTGTCATGTTCTCATACTGTTTCCTTAAGATGTAATGATTTTAAATGGATAATGATTTTGCGATTTGAAAAACTCTGTGGCGTTGAAACTCTATACAATTTAATGATATAGTATAGAAATGCTCTAGTACTCTTTGGAAAGATTTGAGTCTAATGTGACTAGTCGTCAGCAGATGACATCAGTTTTTCACGTGTATTAGTTCATAATAATAATAATAGTGATCGACTTTATTCCAAACAATATGTATGACAGTGTGGAATTCTCAGCATGCAGTTTTTCAACAGGTTCACTCCCAGAACAGTACTTTCAGATAGAACGGTTATTGCATCGGAGTGATGTTAATAATAACAATATTCAAGGCAATAATGTGAAATAGCCAGCTGATTCTGGATTGGCATCCGATCTATAAAGAAGAATTAACAGAAATACAAGTGTAATTTTGGTGGTGGTGGTGGTTTATTCAGACCGTACAAATATCTACAACTCAAGCTAAGTATCTGACGGATAGTAATATGATGTACTTTTTTGCACTGAAAAGTCCATTTCCATATAACGTAACATTTTTCGTCTGCTTTGTTATTGACTCGAAAAATGGAGAGTTGAAAACAGTTTAAAGATGTGCAAGAGTACATGATACGTCCGAAGAACATATTTGAATGATTAAAACAAATTGAAAGGAAAGAATTTGATGAAAAATGTTCTATTGATAAATTTAGTAGCCCAAGGTTCAATAAGGCTGTGGGAAAGAGTTGATATTGCCCGAATAGAGAACTCAATAATCATATTTATTTAGTGGAGTATTCAACGGTTATTTTCATTTCTCCAGGTGACCTTGTTTCCTTGTTTTTTTAACCATAAACCTTGTATATATCACCTAAGGATTTTCCTAAAATATCCCTATTTTTAATTCCAATCTGTTTCTAATGTAAAGGACCCATTTGTCTCCGATGTAACTGAGAATGATCGCAAGGTAATCCAATTACTTTTATGTGAAGCGAATGCGGATATCATAGAGACTGTTGAAGATCTTGATCCAAACGAAACTGTAAGTACTCACATTTACCGGTATAATTTGTATATATTTCATTGTTTATAGTTTTTATGCGTGCAAAATATCTTCAGATAAATAATGTTGAATAGTTGAGTGGTTTAATTATGCATCATGTTTGTCAATATGATCTGTCTGCATGTATCTAGGTATTAACGCAATTTAACTGATGACATTTATCACAGTAATTAGTAAATGACATGTTTGATGCTAGCTAGTTGAATGAAATCGACAAAAAAAACCCTAGTTTCATGCTTGTTGCTACTGTTCATTGGATCTTACCGACAACGCGTATAACTACAACATTAGGTGTTGTTATGTGAGTTTGAGTCTTTGATGGAACATGAATTCCTTCGTGGTTGCAGATACTGTTTATCAATGAGTGCCAAGAACCTCTAAACCCAAGTTAGTAACTTCCTACCAGTTGTCTCTGATCACTTAATATTTTGTAGATTACATAACATTTACTAAAGGACTTCAATGATTCGTACTCAGTCAAGCAACAACTAATTTTCAATATAAACTGGAAAGGATTTCAGGTCGGCCTTTTCACTGGTAGCTGAAACACTGGTGTCTGTGAGATGGTCAATATGCCAATCAGCGACTCTCAAATACTACTTGTACTGTAGGCTAAACACTCAGAAGTTCAGCTTAGTGTACTGAAGATCTCAATTACAGTGTTTTGCGATCCCCAATCATTTAACACTGACCTATATGATGTAGTAGAACTCTGTAAGGCACTTCAAGTAATGAGATATCATCAGATATATCAAGCTAAACCACCTACCTTTGACTCTTTCCAGAATGCAGACGAAACTCTCTACCCAGGAAATTGACTTGATTGTTCTAGCGTTCGTTGGCTCTGGTGTGAAGCCATTACATTAACCATCTTTAAAATCTTGCCGAAAACCTACAGATGATGTCACATTTCGTTCAGATTGTTAATACACTGATTATATGTTCATGATTCTTCAGCAGAAGCTTAAAATTAATGTATATTGAAAGCCGTTAGTCATTGTATCTCTTCACACTAGGATTATTCCCGTTACATGCTAGGACTTGTAGTCTAGAATTGTTTGTTTGAAATATCTCCCTTAAAAGTCTCTTATCATTTGAAATTCCTTAAACCCCAAGACGCTTCAAATAAATTGAGAGCTGACTTATCAATTCCTATCCAAACTCTTTAAAGTCTGTTGATTAAACTGGGTTACCATTCTTATTATTAAATTCTGGTTGAAAAGAATCAGAATTTACATTGTTTTGTTACTGGGACTAAGAGCGACCGATTTCATCTTGTCTAGTCCTGAATACTGACTGAATTCTAACAATCATCTTGCAGTGTAGTAATCAAGCTGGAAGAGAATCACTCCCATGGTCCACTTTGGTAGGTGTTAGTGCATTCACTATACACTTAAATTAGATTTGTCGATTCAATATATATTTTATGCTTAATAAATAGTGAATACATCTTGATCGATAACTTGTTAGCTTGTGTGTATCCATCAGTTTAGTTTCTCCTCGGAATATTGTTATGTATAAAAATTATTTTTCAGTTTTATTTTTGTTTTCTAATGCAAATTCATTATATGGGTGATGAATGTCCTAATTTAACGTTTCTCTAGTCATGTAAATCACCAGTTTTCCTTGTTATTTGTCCTGTTTGTGCATACTTTATCATTATGATTATTATCATATATGCGTGCATATACAGATAAATACGCATCAAATGTCAACAAATAATTATGCATTGAACATATGTGATATATGGACTACAATGTATGTGCTATGAAAAGATTAGCCTAGTCTAGTTTATCTACAAGTGGTTTTGCTTGATCTTTAGAATTGAATCACGTGTTGATGATTCGACTCTCTGTGAGCTGAATCAATCCAGATACATAACTGATGAGCTTAATACGAAAACTAGCATAACAGGCCAATCTGTGCTTAGTTCAACTTGATCTGATTGGGCGAAAACACTGCTAATCGATGTAATTGTTGTGGAACTACTCATACCAGTTAGTAGTACATTTCGTGCAACTTTCTTACTTGACTTTTATCTATTAGTAGTTGTAGGAATGGTGTTGTGGTAATGTTGTATTTTGACGTTTCAACAATATATAACGTATAGAATATGCAAAGTGAGTCTAAACATTAAACCATTGGAGGTACAATTCTCATTGAGTTTGACTCATCATTTAGCTGATTTTTGACTGTGCTGAATTCACTGCTGAACTCAGCGGATCAGTTTATGCAATCAATAGGTCTATCAGTTGGTTTCTTTACGAGTAACATGAAGTGGATTCACATGCATTTATAGTAGATAATTAAGTTACTTCATTGTTTACTAAGCTTTTCAAATACATTAGACTGGCAAGTTATAGGACTAACGTATGGAGTCCCCAGCTATTCGAATTGAATCAAAATGTGATCGACATTGTATGAAAACTAATGATACTGCATTGCTACTTAAACCTCAGTAGGTGAAGTAGGGTTTGAACCAATGAATCACTAGTTGAAGGTCACCCCCGACAGCTTCACTTCCACCTTTTACGGTGTTGTATCCTACCTGAGTGAGATCTTTGAGATGTTAGAATTCAGTTACTCGAAACTTGCTGATATAGGTCGAAACCAGCCATAGTAAAACTCATAATAAAACTCTATCAACTTCAATGCTTTGAACATTTTACCGACCTCCATTTATTTGCTATCTCTCCTTGTCTCCACACTTATCTATCTATCATTCGTTTTCTGTTGACTTCCCCCCCCCCTATATGTATGTATTTATGTATATGTGTGGTTTTGTAATAAAGTATGGCACCTTGAACTGATATATTTGTGTACAGTGTCCTTCCTTGATTCATTTTTCGTTTTGACATTTGAAAACTATTCAACAGAAATTTGGTCTTGTTTGTATGAAGTCACATTTAAAAGTTGCTGTAAAAAGTATACAGCGATCAGAAACCTATCTGTTCATTGTGATGACTTATCTTGCTTTTTACTCTTTTTTTTATTTTCTACCAACTACTGTTCTGATCATTAAACTTCTCAGGACTAACTGAGTAGAATGAAGTTGAGTAGACGACGTACGGTTGATTGGTTTAAGCGGTTATCTTTTAACACTAGCAGATATCGGAATCAAGTCCTATACCGCTTACTTTAACTTGGCTGAGAGGGCAGTACCATAAGTTATTTAATAAACTTGTATTTTCTGTCAGAGTTGTGTTATTAAACTAAACTTTGTTGTATATCCATCAACAGAAAAGTTCCTCCTGTCTTGCCACTAAAGGTGTGCGATGTGATGAGCTTACAAGTTTACAGTCATAGGGTTATTTTCAAAACACTTTTTTTCCACACTTCATCGGTCCACCATGTGAGCATTGTTAAGCTTAGATGTAGATAGTTAGGCATGTAAGATGGCAATTCCGCCGACTAGATTATGATGTGACACCAATTAAGGTGGTTAGATTATGTGTTACGCATGCTGAACCACTGTCTGTTTCAATGAAGTGTTCATTAGTTTTAGAATAAGTTAGAAGAAAGTTAAAAGCAGTTAGTTAGGGCAATATATAAAGTCATCAGTTGTTAGTTTCTATATCATGCTGTCAGGTGTAGACTATATGGCTAAAAGTTAGCGTTTTGAAGGCCTCACTAACACGATCGCATGTACTGCAGATGTATTCAGTTGATAGAGAATATTTCTAGCTCTAGAGGATGATTTTTGATGGTGTTGTATTTTTTGAGCTGGATGGTTTTTACTCATGAAGCTTTCATGGCTATTCTAGACAAAATCAGCACAAAATTTGGAATGAAGTTTTTACATGTACTCAGTATTTATCACCTCGTATACTTTTCTATTCTCTTTTTTGCATATTCTCATTTGCTTTTATATTATTCTACTTTGACAATGACAACTCTACGAATAATTGTAGAATCTATGCACATAACATTGTTATAATTTTAAAAATTATAGTACATAAGATATCCGAAAACGCAGATTAGACAGAATAATTTGAGAGTAACTCTTCCGAGTTTATTGTAAGAGAGAAGTCAAAATTCTTTCTAACAATGTATATATATATATATATATATAGTATGTACTGTCTTATGTAATTAACTAACTAATTAGTTAATAACTGATGATAATATATACTTGACAGACTAATAGATACATTCCTAAGATTATGAAAATTCTCTGACTGATTAGGTTTATGTGCTTATATCCTCAGGAATACGTGTCAAATTCAGTAGTGTATAGTACTATTTAAAAATAGCCTATTACGGAAGTAAATACTATCTGAACTTAAATTTCTACTCTTTTGGAATGGATAAGTGTGTGCTTGTAACTCTGTCATTTAATTATTCAATACATAGACTAAATAAATTTAGTCCTTGTATTTGGCATACTGGTATATATATGTCTGTGTGGTGGCTGTGAACAGTACGGCTCTATCTGTCAGCTGAATGTTTCCGCGTACAGTTCTCAGTGCTGAGCTCAGCCCAAGACGACACGTTAAACAGTTTTCTGGTGTTTAGATCACTATGATTTGGCTAGCGAAATCTACAGATCGATTTGAATAGTTTCTAACTAATCACGTTGTTCACTATGTATCTGATGACTACGAAATTTCTATTTTGAGTGTGGTATGCTATATAAAGTATATGAGCGAAAAATTAGCATAACTACTATTAATAGTAATACTGCTACTGCTCGTAATCATGATAAAACAACAAGCAGTAAACCCAGTGGTCACTGGTTCGAATCCTGCTGCGAGCCAGATTTTATTTCACCTGCGATCATCAGTACAAATCTACTATCTCAGATAGTCACAGTGATAACCAATAAATTATGTAATAATAGAACAAAAGATAAATATGAGAAGTTACGTAGTCCGAATGTTGGACGTATTTTTGGCATTGTATACTCACCATGGTAGAGAAATATGGACAACTGTAACTTTTTTTTATCTCATAAATCAAGCTTCAACCTTTTGATACCAGCGATTTCAGGAAATTGTTTCAACCGTTCTGTTTACTCATCAGCTTAAATGATTTCAGATTGTCTAAACTGTGTCCAGCATCCAGCAAGATAACTTACTGGTCATCTAGTGGATACTGGACACAATGTAGATAGTACTTGAGTCACTGATCTGGTGAGTAAAGTTCACCAAAAACTTTGATCACACCACATCCATTTCAAACCACACGTTTGTTATCGGAACATCGTTCATCTTGTCTAACTATTGTGAATATATCAGTTTTTTATAGTTAGGTAATCAATAATGTTAAATTCTCATATCTAGTCACTTCTGTCTGTGTTTTACGCAACAACAGGTGTATATTGTAGAGATAACTTTCCTATTTAGAAAACGTGAGCGCTTTCAACATTAAATATGTATAGTGCGTGAATTCGCTTGCTCCGCCACAAAATCAACATCACCAAGGTAAATAGAAAATAGATTTGTAGAATATTTTCAAAAATAGATTGAATCTCTTCCATTTGACTCTTTTAGTCTTATTTCAACACAACAAGAAGGATTATCTTTGAAGGATAAGATGATTTCATCTCATACCACAGATATGAGTGAGCTGAACGCAGTTCAGAATCGCAATGATTCTTACAAAAAAGAACTATGATAACATATTTCACTTTTAACAGACTAAACAATAACATAGGTTATTATCAACTAAGAAGTTACTGATAATTGATACATAGTGATGATTAAAGGCGAAATGTAGATCTGGGTCAAGGTAGCATTTGAACCATTCGCCACTAGGTTACCGACTCGGTGCTCTATCAACCTACCTGCAAGATGCAGCTGCTGATAAGATCTTAATTTCGCTCCAGACCGCAATTATTTCAGTTAGTCTTACTGATAATTACTAATATACTAAAAGTGAAAATCATATTTTAAAATCACTATCAGTTTATATATCATTCCAGTAGAAGGTGTAAATAATGTTAAACCAAAAAAAGAGGAATTCTAGTTACCAGATTATGTAAAACAAAGCGAAGTTGTCGTGGTTATTTTCTGCACGTTTAGTATTTTCAAAGCATTATAAATATAGACTTGATATCCTATATGCATAAGATGTCCGTTAATCCATTGTTCAGAACCGTGTTCCTGTTCAAGCATATATTGTTTTGAATACGCTCACGAAACGTGCTGGAAGTCATTCTCACAGTCCTTCCAGTGTGTTTGCTATGGGAAGCACATGTTCATTTGTGAATATAACTGGAAGTTACGGAAAGAAGTCGGATAATTATACACTTTTGACTGGGTTAATGGGTAGACAGTGTTAAATAGCGACAAAAGTTTGACTGTAGAGGAAACTTTCTCGTCATATGCCGATCTTTGTGTTATCGTTGATACTGTATCCCGTTGCATAATAAAGGAATAAAAACCTCCTCCTTTTTTTGCTAGCTGAGTATTTAGCTTTTCCGTTGGGTTATTCTCCACATTTCATGATTAATTCCCTAGGGTATCAACTGTTTCTTAACAACATCTCAATAGTACCAAACTATTCTTCCAACTTTTAACTATACTATATGGTCCAAGCACTCGACCTTCAGTCAGTAGGCCAAGAGTTCGAGTCTCGTTTCATGTGTGGTGGTTTTAGTAACCAGATAGTATCAACAACCTCCATAACCTAGCAAATAAATGTCTATATGATTACTGAAAGAGTTCAGTTTTTCTTCTAACACCAGTGAAACAATTTACTATCACAGACACGTTGTTAATGCACTTTTTGTTGGTAATCATATGAATCATTCAACTCAATCACCTGACAAGCCTAAGAAAACTCACTTAAACATTAAATTTACGGCAGAGTAAGAACACAACAAGCAGAGTAATTTTTTGAACGTCAGCGTGTACGAGAAGAAGAAGAAGAAGTGATGGTGTGACCGAGAAAACGATTCATAGGAAGGACACATGAACTGGATAACATGTTGATTACATTGGCTTTCATCTTTCCACTGATAAGGATAGACTGATCACATTGCTCTATAATACAGCTATGAATTAGTTTTCGGGAAATAATTGGAAGAATAGTAAAAGAATATTCAAAAATATCTCAAAGAAAACGGATACCCTTAACGATTCAATATAAAATTTGGAAAGAAGCAGACCTACCTATATACTGTCAGGATGTCTGTCTATTTAAATGAATATATTTACAGTCATTATAATCACTGCTTATAATCTCACATTGAAAAGTTCAACAATACTTACCTACCATTAAGTGTTGCCTTGTACACTCTCCGATAACATAGTGATAGAATAACATAGGTCTTTGTAGATAAATGTATCAATTCCACTTTGTACACTTTACAACAATATAGAACGGAAAAACTAACTAAAGTAGACTACTTTCACAGTCATTAAGAATTGAGATATGTTTGTTTACGGATGGTAAGTATCGTAGGTGTTGATCAGTAGTTCTGATATATGTTGTAGTGTGTATTTTTAGGATAAGTCAACCGTTTGCCAACTGATACATTTTTGGCTTTTCTTATCAATCATCTTCAAAGCTAAACTTTAATTGGTACTCTCTATTGACCTTCAATTTATTCATATCATGTAGATTGATGAAATTGATGACAATGAAATGAATACCCTTATACTGCCTGATTCAACTAAACTATCAATTCCTATTGATGTGGAATATGATGATGGAGAAGATGATGACTATACAGATGATCAAGAATCTAGTAGAGATGTTAAACATAATGATGGTAGTCATGGGGATAGTGGTGTCAGTCTTAGTGGAACAAATTCGGAAGATCGATCTCAATTTGAAAAGTATGTATCTGACACAAAAGCTACTTCAAATAATAATACGGTAAGTGTCATCTTGTCATATACTTATATCTCTTTATGCATACTCTGACATTCGTTTATTAATGTGCGTACATTATGATGCTCAATCACCATATTCTCTAGATTTCCTGGTCTATTTAAAGCTAGAAACTATGACAATTGTTTTGGGGAGATGAATATCAACTATGGGGTCCATGGGTTCGATGCCCACTCCACTTATCAAGGTTTGGGGAGCTAGGTAGTATCACTAGGCCTTACACAATAGATGTGACTCATTGCCTACTGCATGAATGTGTACAAAATTGCTGAGTGTGTTTCGTTTCTATTTAAAGCTCAAAAACAAGTAACCAAAAAATGCATATACTACTGTAAATATCAGAATGATTATCTGAGATAGCGCCATGGTGTGTGTTTAACAGACTCGTATTATTGATACTGGGTGATTATGTGACCGAAGATGAAATAAAAATCCGCATCATGGAAATTCTATTGATCATCTTTTCTATTCGTAGGAAGATTTTTTCCGATGTCAGTAATTCCTATGAGTTAAATGAACTTACCGTTTTATTTTTCAGTCAATTATCTGTGTAGAAAACTTTTGTCAAATAGTTTATACGGTTAAGTAGCAGTTGCAAATTGAAGAAGACACCAGTAAATTATGGACCTGAGAGATATACGTGTGCTGTGCACAAGAGGTTGTTGCACTAGGAATATGAAGTTCATGGAATGAATAGGGTCATACCCCTATTCGCCTTTGTCATTATGATGAGCTACTCAAATGTTTTACTTTTGTATGAATTCTAAACATACCCAAGTTTAGAGCGACTTTTGGGTTTATTCATAAAATCACCTACGTTTTGTGTCCAGAAAGAAAGGTAGGTGTTTTTTTTAACTCATTATTGTCAGTGATCAACATACAAAAAATGCTTAGAACACAGGTTAAAAAATGGTTTAATCTCAAATAAACTTACATCTTCAGTTTCTTCTAGTAATATTGAAATTGAAACGCACTCCACAACCATTTGCATTTTCATACAGTAGGCAGTGAGCCAAATCTATTGTGTGAAAAGGTTAATTATACTACCTAACTACTGAAATCCTGTTAAGAGAAGTGAGTTTCTAACTCGGGACCGATTGTAAAAAATTTAAATGTTGAAATTGATAAACCACAGCTTCATTAATGCTGATATACTCATTGTAGTTGACATTGTAAGAATTATTGAGAGTACTTTCAATAACCCATTGATAGACAGCAGTATTTATAACCTTGTAACAGGTTTGATGAGTATTTGCAAACATGCTTGAGAGGAATTTTAGCTTTTGGTAAATTATAGTGGCCAATTTCTTTCAGTTATTCTACTCATATAGCTAGTTGTCTCTTTTCTATTCAGCGCTACCTAGTTTTTGTGGATAAATTGGTTCTTTATGGCCTTTTTTTTATTATTATCAATCTCTTATCTCTCCCTCTCTAATTCATTTGGATTTGTATTGGGATGAGAAGTCCTGACTTGGCAACCAGTGTGAATACGATCACGCGGTAGTAACGCATCACGAATTCACATGGTAGTTGTACAGAACGCATGGTGATTGAAGTGAAATAGAAGAACTATGGTTAGCAGTCGGACCTCGTAGCTCATTTGGTAGGGGATGGGGCCGGAAACCCAGTGGTTTTGTTGGTTTGAATCTGGCTGTAGTTCAAATTTTCATTTCACCCTCAATCATCACCCAGTATCAACCTCTAATCTGTTCAATATTTATGTGAACAGTTTAGATTTAATCAACATTTTATTTCATTTAAATTCGACCATGGATTATTGTTGTTAATCTCTACAAGTGGTTGAATTATCACACATGGATGAAGTTATAATCTGTCATCTTTAGTATGATTATTGAAACGTGCTCTGAATTCAGTTTATTGCTATAAGATGGTTGTGTTTGGTAACAATTTCTTATTTCATCACAGGCTAATATTACATCTGAAGAATTATTATAGAATACTAGGCAATTAGTTATTCCTAGCTCAAGACTGATATTAACGATATTGGACTACAAAATTCTTCCTATTATACAGAAAACACTTTTCACCTGAACCATCTATATCATAATCTAACAGTCTGTTGTCTTTTCCAAACTGCAGTCACTCTCAGTTTTTTGGTTTGTGTAGATCGGTTGATTTCTTTAGTTATGTGACCATCATCTAGTACTGTTGGGGAATATCTGTCTGAATTTATAACTATATGGGCATTAAGGATCACACTCTAAGAGGAAACAGCTATATTGTACTCCTACATCTCCTGTGGTTGTTTGTCATTTGATACTAGCTGTTAACCAGCCCTATTTTCAAATTAATCCGTTGTCCTTGAAATGATATCTTGCTTTTCTGATTTCATTTTCATTTACTCCATAAATATTTGTTGGCTGTAATAAATTTGAGTCTTGCAGTGTTCTTAATCATAATGCCGTTCAAATAAAGGTGTGAACATGGTCTATTCAAGAAAAGTTTCTTGTGTAACATATCCTGTTTTGGTATATGTCATCACAGTCTGATTCTCTTTTAATCCTGAAGTTATACTTCCTTATGCTCGATTGCCAGTAAAGTTCTGTGATATTGCCTTATGTTATTTGACACTCATAAAGGTTTGAAGCTGTTTTTCATAAGCTACATTGTTATTCATATGGTTTTCACCTTAAGGCATAAAATATTCTACAATCAGCCTAGTCAAGTTTTGAAAAGTTTTGTTCAATTTAATATTTCACTTTAACGCCAGCTTTTTAGGTATGAAATCGAAATGAATACAGTAGACTATATGTCTAATCACTTCTGTTATATGATGACTGGCAAGGCTATCTGATTGATCAGATCTCGAAAATCGGGACAGTGTTTAAACTTATGGCTTACTGGTCAGTATTTATGTGTTTAAACCGATAAATAGCAGTTGTACCAGACACTAGTGATTGAATAGCGACATAAAAGGGCAGTCTGCAGACATGTGACAGTTACTATGATGACATTCCCTCATCAAAAATGTCATACTACATTATCCTATATATGAGTATTAAAAACCATTACAAACAATTTACAGGTTTTTGTAACCAAGATAGAACCATTTTCCTATCACTGGATAGCCGTTTTGCTTATTCAAAGTCCTAATTGCCTGCTATTTGCCCAGATAAATTCATTTCTTAGATCCAAATTGTCCCATTGGCCTAAATCTAAGCAAGTGTTTAGTATGATCCAGTTTTTTGATGATGTAATAGGTTCCTGACTACTTATGTTAAACAACGATATATTTCGCTAGTCTATGATACGTATATCAGATATAACACTGTTTTGTCTTAGATAAAGGTTTTTTTTCAAATGAGATACTTGTCAATATTGTAGAGTTGAAACGACCCTAACCCATACCGGCTTCGGGACTGTCAAGACTAATGTTGAAAATAATAGATATGGCTATTTCAGTTTTATAAAAGCGTTTGACCCCCATTTGAAAAACCATTACCTGCATATATATATATATATATATATATATATATATATATATATATATATACCGAATGGGCACATACCTTTATGCAAAGCCTTATTGTCCGCGTATCATTCTGTTATTTTATCAATAGCGTAAGCACTTTATTGTAAATAGACTGACATACTACTGGAAGATTGTTAACCGTTCAGCTTACTCCCCCTGTTTAACGTCTATTGTTTGATGCAATGTAATAAAATACCACTATATTATAGTGATGTCCTCTAGTCTCTTTTTATATAGCCTTATTATATTTCTACATATGGTGAAGCTCAGTAGTTTTGAGATACAACCTGTTCTAATTACGTTTCTTCTAAGAAGTCAGAATCCAATTTGTCATAGGTAATGATTTCCACTTTACTGAAGTATTCCTCTTAGGTGTAATAATATCACCTGAATACATGCCTACAAAGTGACATGAAGTACACATTTCTACGACTGTTATTATGTAGGGTCGATTAAGACTTTCTTTCTGTCAGCCAATTGGTCTGAACAGCATGAGAAGGCTGCAGGTGTTCGACCACCGCTGCCTTCATGGTATTATTATTATATTATTGTTAGCCCCTTGGGTTCCTAATGGAACATAGGGCTTCAGTAGCACGTCTCCATTCCACTCTCTTCTCTGAAATCTTTTGAACCTGGCTCCACGACAGCCCACAAGCTCTCGTTTCCTCCTCGCACGATCTCTTCCATGTCACACTCTGCTCGGACACCCAACTCGTCGCTTCCCATGGGATTACACTCGAGCAACCGACCTGACGCGTGATGTCCACAGTCGGCCTTCTCAGTGTATGCCCAATCCAATCCATTTCCACTTCCTTCTGCATATTCGTTGAGCGATAGCTTCTTGGTTGGTTCGTTTCCAGAGTTCCTTGTTGCTTATTCTCACCATTCTGGCCATCTGATCTTCAGCAGCGAGCGTAAGCAGTTGTTGATGAATGTCTGTAATTTGTTGGAAATCCCTTTCGTAACACGCCAAGTCTCTCAACCATCACACAGAAGCACTGACTTGACTGACGTTGGTGTTGAAAATCCGGATCTTGTCCCACATGCTGAGTGCAGAAGATCTCCACACTGGTTTCAGGCTAATGAACACCTGTCTTGCTTTTCCGATCCTGCCTGGCTTTGACATCCTCGTCTGTGCCTGTGGCGCCTGTAGTTGAAACAGTGCTTCCTAGATAGGTGTAGGTGAAGGAGGTTACTTCCTTTAAGTTTCTCCCGTTGATGGTGATTGGAGTTTGTTGTTGGTGGTGCGGCATCTTCATCACTTCTGTCTTCTCTATATTCACCTGAAGTCCCGTGTTCGCTGCCCTGACTCTTCTACCAACTTCTTAGTTTTCGCTTGTAGATCTTCAAGTTTGTGTGACATCAGGTACAAGTCATCGGCGAAATCCAAGTCTTCTAGGTTCTTTCCCGCAGTCCAGTGTATCCCCCTCTTCTCGCTCCTCACTGTTTGCTGCATGATCTAGTCCACCACAATAAGGAATATCATGGGGAT